CTTCCCCATTATACTGCTGGTGCCCCGGGCATGTTCTCTATGGTCATAAACACTGGCCCTTCCATTCCACTACACTAGCAAATACCTCAGTCGGCCGGGGAGACTTCCACGCACATCGCTCGGCCTCTGGGGATGGCAGCTCGGGTGTTTGCACCTGTCCTGGGCAGTCACAGCTGCGAACTTTGCTCTGTGCTGCGGGCCTCAGATCCCTCCCTCGAGGATGCTTTTGAGACCTGTAGGAGTCTGACACCAAGCTCTGGGGCACGCTTTCCAGCAGCAACGTCCCAGGCTGCTGCCTGCAGTTACACCCTTCCCCCGTCTTTGTCTCCCGCTCAGGGGGGGTGAGTTAAAGGTTAGATTGCTGCAGAGTCACTTGCTTTGCTGGTCTCTGTCTGTCTGGTGCTAGGTATGGAACCACATCCTTTTGTTGTGAAGACAGGAACCACATCAGAGTTAAGGTTGCAACCAACATCGGCATTGCCACCCTGGGTCAGTGCAGGCCGGCAGGGACAGGAAGTGATTTTTCAACCACGACACGGAAGTCAGCGTATCAGATGAGCTCATTCAGTCAGTTTCTCTCAGGTTATTCTACTTTCACAGTCATTAAAATAGGCACAACACAAAGCAGGACCCAATCCTGAGACATGCACAGTGCCCTCGGTTTCTATTGACTCAGCACTTTCACAGAGTCATAAGAAGATCAGGGTTGGAAGAGACCTCAGGAGGTCATCTAGTCCAACGCCCTGCTCATGCAGGACCAACCCCAACTAAATCATCCCAGCCAGGGCTTTGTCAAGCCAGGCCATAAACACCTCTAAGGTTTCCACCACTTCCCTAGGTAGCCCATTCCAGTGCTTCACCACCCTCCTAGTGAAATAGTTTTGCCTAATATCCAACCTAGAACTTCCCCCACTGCAACTTGAGACCATTACTCCTTGTTCTGTCATCTGCCATCACTGAGAACAGCCTAGCTCCATCCTTTTTGGAACCCCCCTTCCGGTATTTGAAGGCTACTATCAAATCCCCCCTCACTCTTCTCTTCTGCAGACTAAATAACCCCAGTTCCCTCAGCCTCTCCTCATTAATCATGTGCCCCAGCCCCCTAATCATTTTCATTGCCCTTCGCTGGACTCTCTCCAACTTGTCCACATCCCTTCTGTAGTGGGGGGACCAAAACAGGATGCAATATTTCAGGTGTGGCTTCACCAGTGCCGAATAGAGGGGAATAATCACTTCCCTCAATCTGCTGGAAATGCTCCTCCTAATACAGCCCAATATGCCATTAGCCTCCTTGGCAACAAGGGCACACTGCTGACTCACATCCAGTTTCTCGTCCACTGTAATCCCCAGGTCCTTTTCTGCAGAACTTCTGCGTAGCCAGTCAGTCCCCAGCCTGTAGCAGTGCATGGGATTCTTCCTTCCTAAATGCAGGACTCTGTACTTGTTCTTGTTGAACCTCATCAGATTTCTTTTGGCCCAATCCTCCAATTTGTCTAGGTCACTCTGGTCCCTATCCCTACCCTCCAGCATATCTACCTCTCCCCACAGCTTAGTGTCATCTGCGAACTTGCTGAGGGTGCAATTCATTAATAAAGATGTTGAACAAAACCGGCCTCAGGACCGACCCCTGGGGCACTTTACTTGATACCGGCTGCCAGCTAGACATCGAGTCGTTGATCACTCCCCGTTGAGTCCGACAATCTAGCCAGTTTTCTATCCACCTTATAATCCATTCATCCAATCCATACTTTAACTTGCTGTCAAGAATACTGTGGGAGACCATATCAAAAGCTTTGCTAAAGTCAAGATATATCACATCCACCCTCTTTCCCCATATCCACAGAGTCAGTTATTTCATCATAGAAGGGAATCAGGTTGGTCAGCATGACTTGCCCTTGGTGAATCCATGTTAACTGTTCCTGATCACCTTCCTCTCCTCCAAGTACTTCAAAATGGATTCCTTTGATACTTTGCAGGATTGGGCCCAGCCTGCCGCATTAGGACCATCTGAACTAGCCATTAACATGAAAATAACAATGAGAATCTCCTCCCATTCAGTCACCGACAAAGCCTATCCCTTTCTCTGAAACCCAGTAGAGAGGGTCTGCTTTGCAGCTGGCCCAGAAGGCTAACCAGTCTGGGGTTGGGAACAAGGACCCTGCATGAATAACAGGCACCTTTCCGCCCTCCCTGCTCCTTTAGGCCAGGGAGCTGTTAGCAGCAGTGACCTGGGTGAGAGATGTCTGCGCACTAGTATATCAGTTGTTTGACACCTCAAATGCTACTTAAGCAACATTGGCAATTCGGAGTACTGGAACCCAAAGCTGTACCGTTCGTCCAAATGCCAGATCTGGGAAATGCAAGTACAATTTGTGCTTCCTTCTCCTGACTCCCGGGTAATATTATTCCTGCCCTCGATATGCCTGGCCCCAGTTTAGCCGTTTAAAACAGATGAGTCATGCTACTGTCTCCTCCTTACTGTATCAATCCTGAGCTGATGTCGTCATGCCTGGAAAATTGTGACTGCTTTTAAATGGGATTGTGTAAAGGGTGCGATTCCGCAGTGGCATAGGGCACGCAGACTTGGAGCAAAGGAAATGGATATTGTGTTTGAATTATGGTCACAAACGTGGGAAGCAAAGTATTTGACCAGCTGACTGCCTTAAACTTAACAGCATGCTGTCAAATTTTGTATGTTTAATGTTCCATTTGCTGACCAGTGTAAAGATTATTTTTTTAATTAGAAGAACAGTTGTGATACAGGAAGTTCTTAGTTAATGAAAATGTAGTGGCGGAAGTAAAATATATCCTAAAATGCATAATTTGCTTTGGATTGCTTTGGGAAAAGCTAGAGAAGTCTGGCTAGGACTGTGAAGCACCAAAGAACTCAGAGAAAGTGAAGAAGCAAAAATCAAAAAGGTAAAATGGTCATTTATGGAGATAGGGAAAAATTCCAGTTTAATGAAAAGGAGGCAGTATTTGAAACATATGGGCTCATACATCATCCTCTTCCAGATGTTACAGAAGACAATGGCAAGAAAAGATCTTCCCCCCATCCCCTTGAAATTGGTAGGATAGGTGATGTCTGCAATGTTTTTAAAGACATCTAATTTTCCACAGGACCTGTGTGAAAGGACTTAAGTGCTTTGAAAACTTTATATATCGAAAGCAAACTTTCCAGGTGAAAAATATAAGTACATATACTTTTAGGTATGTCTGGGTGCATATACATGTATGTGTTAGCTATTATTTCAGGTCATTATAATACATTTTAAAATATCTAGAGTTTTAAAAGAACTAAATCTTAATAGCTAAGTCTCCATTATTGGCTATTTTGTTAATTCCATTTAAATGTATCGATTACTGCACTGAGAGGTGATAGCATCTCCTCTCTCTCTCTCTAGCATTATTTTACATTACATACATGAGAAAAAGCCTGCTTCATAATTGATTGACAAATCGTATGGTCAGTTAGTAAGTTTCCATTGTTTACCTTCTCAGAGGCAAATAATATTGAAGTGTAGAACTACATTAACCAATGTCAGGGTACAGATGTGGGGACACACATGAAAGACCCCCAAGCTTATTTCTACCAGCTTAGGTTAAAACTTCTACAAGGCACAGATTCTTTGGCCTTGGAGGGTACGCTGCCACCATCAAGTGATTTAACAAAGAATCAGGGAAAGGACCACTTGGAGTTTCTGTTCCCCCAAAATATCTCACCAAGCCCTTATACCCCCTTTCCTGGGGAGGCTTGAGAATAATATCGAAACCAATTGGTTACAAAGTGATCACAGACCCAAACCCCTGGGTCTTAGGACAATAGAGAAATCAGTCAGGTTCTTAAAAGAAGGATTTTATTTTAAAAAAAGGTAAAAATCACCTCTGTAAAATCAGGATGGAAAATAACTTTACAGGGTAACAAAAGATTCAAAAACACAGCAGAACTTCCTCTAAGCTTAGTTTCAAAGTTACAAAAAACAGGAATAAACCTCCCTCCAGCAAAGGAAAAATTCACAAGCAGAACAAAAGATAATCTAACATGCCTTGCCTGGCTTTTACTTACAATTTTTGTAATATGAGAAACATTTAGGATGGTTTATAGGAGAAGGAGTTTTCTGACCGGATGCTTCTCTGCTTCCCAAGAGAACACACAAAAAAGCTCCCCCCCCCCAAGATTTGAAAGTATCTTCTTTCCCATTGGTCCTTTTGGTCAGGTGCCAAACAAGTTATTTGAGCTTCTTAACCCCTTACAGGTAAGGAGGAATTCTAGGCTACCCTTAGCTGTATGGTTATGACAACCAGTCAGTTCACATATGCAGATAAATGCATCATGATGGCATGCATCATTTCAGCAAAGCTTACTGAACTCTGATGAGCCCCTGGGTTACATATGCTGTCTATCTGCTTCCTGACTGGATCAGGAGTAAATAATAGCATCTTTGGGACTGCTCTCTTCACCTCCCATTTAGAAAGTTAATCTAAAAGGAAAAGCTGCTGCACTTCTGAGACTCATGGCCTTAGTCCAGATTTTCAGAGATTCTGAATATGTGCGGCAATGCATGGAGCACCAGATTCCGCCACACTGCCGATCTAGAGCATTGCTTTTCGGTAGGGCTAGCCCCAGAGGAAAGCATTACCCCGCTTGAGTAACGTTACCAGAGTTAGATCCCATGGGGAGTTTTTGTTTTGGTGAAAGTAACGACTGATTGTCCCTCCAGGAAAAAATATGGACCAAGGCAAAATTTGGTCCATATAGTCTTCTCTGCTCGGTCAGTGCTGATGTTCACCTTAGCAGAAGTACATTTCTAGTAATGCTCAGAATGCTCAGTACTTCCCCACAGCTGCACTGTGGGGCTAGGACTCAGAATGTGAGATCATGCTGCCCTTCTGCTTGCTTCTTATACATCGGCTGTTACACGTTTGAAGAATATCTTGCATTCTAATAGCAATAGTGGTGCGACCTCAGTTTTCACTTTGCCTTTTTTTTTTAATTATAGGTCCCACTTCAGCAAAAAACGTGAGAATTTAAAAACTGAGATTTCTCTAAAATGTCGTACAGACAGGAATTGGAGAAATACCGCGATCTGGATGAGGATAAGATCCTTAGTGCATTGACAGAAGAAGAGCTCAGGACACTGGAGAATGAACTGGAGGAGCTAGATCCTGATGTAAGTAGATTTTAAATGACCTCTAGATGGTAAATTCTGAGTAACTGAGGCACAAACCTTTATATCTTTTGGGGTGGATCTATCAGTATTTACTTCTTTAATCTGCTAAACTCTCTTTCCATCTACTGCAACTGTAGTTTATGTGATCTGAATTCATGACATTGTGTGTTCTTTATATTTCATTTAAAGAGTTATGTGAGAAATGTAATACCTAAGCAATGTCGTTGCTCCTCTGAAAAATACAGGGCCATTCATGCTGTTACACAAGGTCTTACTCCAGTTTCTCGGTGCTCCTGTGAATACAATAGCAGGTGAAGCCAAGCAAAATCTGGAACTGGAGCAGAGGTCTGCTAAAGTGCAGTGTTCCTCTTTTCTGCTGTGATTGGTAAAGTGCCAGCTTAGACAGAGGGCCAGAATCTTCTACCTTTAGTGACATTGAGTAGTTTCTTATTATGCTAGTAGTGGGATCACTCAGAGCCTTTATTCTGAATAAGGATGGCAGAATTGGGCCGTACGTTTGCATCCTGTTTAAAAACCCTCCCAGCCCTGTCCCTGTCTGTAGAACTCACACCCACAAGATCCAGATCCCAAAGAACCTGCAGTAAGTGTGCTATCCCACTGACTTAGGTGATAATTCATTGTTCTTCCTGCAACACTGTCTAGAACAGCAACTGCTGCAGAATGGAAACAGGTCACTGCCCCTGAGCCTGGGCAGAGAGTTCAGAACATCCGTGTCCCTGGGCAGAAGCACTCCTGCTGATCCCAGCTCCTCGGAGCCTGTTTAAAAATACCTTCGCTCCAAGGAAATGGTGAATATTCCACCTACTCTGCATCAAGCTTTCTTGGAGATGGCACAACGGACTTGGACCCTGATCCTGCAAACATGTACACACATGAGTAGCCCCATTAAGTTCACGGGAATTGCGCAGGTGTGTAAAATAAAGCAACTCGCATGCATAAGCGTTTGCAGGGTCCAGGTCTTAGTGAGGACTCAGTAGTTTGCCTAGTTTTAGGAAAATATTTGCCTGCTGAGCACATGCTGTTCAGTGTTTCGAAGGCATAACTCTGGGCTGTCGAGCCTGTAGGGAGGCAGGGCTGGATTCCATATTTGTTTATAGTCCATGAGTTGGGGTATAAGTTGAGGACCTCATAGTCTCCTTGATCCATAGTGGATCCCCCACTGCTGTCAAGGGGAGGTTACACACTCAACACAGGGAGAATGTGCCCTCCAGGCAGGTCTACACTCTCGTGTTTATTGTTTATTCAGTCCCTTATGGTCACATTCAGAATCATGCTGAGAGAATTAGGCTCCCTTTAAGCGCTGCTACTGTTGCTCTTTATCCTTCTGCATAGCCTGCCGTCCTTTCTCTGCCCCCTCTCTCTCTGCATCTCCTCCTTTCTTTCCCCTGGGAATGATTTTCCAACCAGTTCTGCACCCACCTTATAGTAGCTCCACCTAGATTGCATTTCCCTAGTTTGTTTATGAGAAAGTCATGCAAGATGGTATCAAAAGTTTTACTAAAGTCAAGATCTGCCACGTCTACTGTTTCCCCCCATCCTGTTATCCTGTCACAGAAAGCTACCAGGTTGGTTTGATATGATTTGTTCTTGACAAATCCATGCTGACTGTTACTTATCACCTTATTATCTTCTAGATGTTTGCAAATTAATTGCTTAATTATTTGCTCCATTATCTTTCTGGGTACAGAAGTTTTGCTGACTGGTCTGTAATTCCCTGGGTTGTCCTTATTTCCCTTTTTATAGATGGGCACTATACTTTCCCTTTTCCAGTCTTCTGGAATCTCTCCCGTCTTCCATGACTTTTCAACGATAATTGCTAATGGCTCAGATATCTCCTCAGTCAGCTCCTTGAGTATTCTAGGATGCATTTCATCAGGCCTTGGTGATTTGAAGACATCTAACTTGTCTAAGTAATTTTTGACTTGTTCTTTCCCTATTTTAGACTCTGATCCTACCTCATTTTCACTGGCATTCACTATGTTAGACATCCAATCGCCACCAACCTTCTTGGTGAAAACCAAAACAAAGAAAGCATTAAGCACCTCTGCCATTTCCACATTTTCTGTTATTGTCTTTCCCACCTCATTGAGTATCTGGCCTACTCTGTCCTTGGTCTTCCTCTTGCTTCTAATGTATTTGTAGAATGTTTTCTTGTTTCCTTTTATGTCCCTAGCTAGTTGGATCTCAATTTGTGCCTTGGCTTTTCTAATTTTGTCCCTGCATACTTGTGTTGTTTGTTTATATTCATCCTTTGTAATTTGACCGAGTTTCCACTTTTTGTAGGACTCTTTTTTGAGTTTTAGATCATTGAAGATCTCCTGGTTAAGCCAGGGTGGTCTCTTGCCATATTTCCTATCTTTTCTACGCAGTGGGATAGTTTGCTCTTGTGCATTTTGGTCCATTACAAGATGAAAATGGTAGAATAATCAATAATAATGCAGAAATATTCAATACGTATTTCTGTTCTGTATTTCTGGGGAAGAAGCAGGTGAAGTCATATCATATGATAGCACTCTCTTCATTCCTCTAGTATCTTAGGAGGATGTTAAACAACAACTGCTAAAGTTAGACATTTTTAAATCAGCAGGTCTAGATAACTCAGATCCAAGAATTTTAAAAGAGCTGGCTGAGGAGCTCACTGGACTGTTAACGCTGATTTTCAGTAAGTTTTGGAGCATTGAGAAAGTTCCAGAAGACTGGAAGAAAGCTGATGCTGTGCTAATATTTAAAAATGGTAAATGGGATGAGCTGGGTAATTATAGGCCTGTCAGTGTGACATCAATTCCAGGATAGAAAATGGAGTAGCTGATACAGGACTTGATTAATAAAGAATCAAAGTGAGGGTAATATGATTAATGCCAATCAACATGGGATTATGGAAAATAGATCCTGTCAAACTAACTTGTTACCTTTTTTGATCAGATTACACTTCGGTTGACAAAGGTAACGGTGCTGATGCAATATACTTAAACTTCTGTAAGGCATTTGTCTTGGTACCAGATGATATTTTGATTAAAAAACTAGAAAGAGATACATTTAACATGGCACACATTAAATGGATTAAAAGCTGATTAACTGATTGATCTCAAAATGTCATTGTGAACAGAAAATCATCATCGAACTGGTGAGTTTCTATTGGGGTCCAACAGGGGTCTGTTCTTGGCCCTTTGCTATTTAACATTTTTATGAATGACCTGGAAGAAAACATAAAATCATCATAAAGTTTTCATATAATCCCAAAACTGGAGAGTGGTAAATAATGAAGAGGGCTGGTCACCACTATAGAGTGATCTTGATTGCTTGGCAAGCTGCGCACAAACTAACAATATGTGCTTTAACATGGCTAAATGTCACTGTATACCTCTAGGAACAAAGAATGCAGGCCGTACTTACAGGCTGGGGGAGACTGTCCTTTAGAGCAGTGATTCTGAAAAAGATTTTGGGGTTGTGGTGATGGATAAACAGGTGAACATGAGCTGCCAGTATGATGTTGTGGCCAAAAGGGCTAGTGAGATCCTGAGATGCATAAACAGGGTACTGTCAAGTGGGAGAAGAGAGGTTGTTTTATCTCAATTTGGCATTGGTGCAACCACTGCTGGAATGCTGTGTCCAGTTCTGGTGCCTACCATTCAAGAGGGATGTTGATAAATTGGGGAGGGTTCAGAGAAGAGCCACGAAAATTATTCGAAAACCTGCTTTATAGGGTGTGTCTACACTGCAAACAAACTGTCAGGGTGCTGAGTCACAGAGCCAGAGTCAATTGACTTGAGCTGAGGCTGCAGAAAATACCAGTGCATATGTTCCCACTTGTGCTGGAGCCTGGCTCTGAGGCCCTCCCCCCTCCCTGGGTTTCAGAACCTGGGCTCCAGCACGAGTGGGAATGTCTGCCTTGCTGTTTTTAGCCCCACAGCCTGAACCCCACAAGCCTGTGTCATTTGACCTGGTTCTGAGTTTCAGTGCAATACGGTTTTCTTTGCAGTATGGACATACCCATAGTGATAGATTCACAGAGTTCAGTCTATTTAGCTTGACAAAGAGAAGGCCAAGAGGTGACTTGATTACAGTCTATAAGTACCTACATGGGGAATAAATATTTAATAATGGGCTCTTCAATCTAGCAGGCCAAGGTATATCACCACCCAAGGTTGGAAGTGGAAGCCAGACACATTCAGGAGGGAAATGAGGCCCACATTTTAACAATGAGTGCTCTCAACCACTGGAACAATTTACCAAGGACCATGGTGGAATCTCCATCACCAACCATTTTTAAAGCAGGATAGGGTGTTTTTCTATCAGATTTGCTCAAGGAATTATTTGGGGGCAGTTCCCTGGCCTGTGTTACACAGGAGGTCAGGCTAGATGATCACAATGGTCTTTTCTAGCCTTTGCATCTATTAGTCTCCTGTTGGAGCTTCTCCACTTCCTAGACATAATTAAATACTCATTGGGCCAGAGAGAAAGAGACTCTAGAAGCTAGTGGCTGTGGTACTGACATCCCATGTGCGTGCCCTCACCACCGGCTATTGGCTGCTCTGGGGTAGAGGGTGTCTCTCTTGTGCTTTTTGCAAAACATTTCAAAAAGGTCTTGTTTTCATTCTGCATTGGAACGGAAACACACATCGAAACCTTGACAGTTTTCACTAGCCAGACTTGTTTTCTGGGGAGCCTTGCTGACCACCCCAGCACTTGCATGTCAGAGCTGCCACTAGAATCTAGAGAAGTCCCACATGTGCAAAATGACGGGGTGGTTGGGTGCAAGGGAGTTAAATGAAGCCATCTAGCTGGAACAGTATTTTATACCCGCACTAAAACCTGTACAGAGCCAGCTGGCAGGCAAACAGATTGTTCCAATACTAGGGTGGGTGATGCCAAGGACAGTGGGATGAGGACTCTCCCTGTTATGCACATTTAATATTTGAGGGGAAAGCAGTGGGTTGTGCAGATTATTCTGGGGATTAAAAGTGCCATTGACATGATATGGACAAAGAAGAATCAGACATTCAGTGATCTTCCTGGGTTATACTTATTGCTTCCCCTAACGAGGCTGATCAAGAGAGCGTCCTGGGAAAGCTAATGATCAAAGAAAACATCAGTCAAAGACACAGTATGGAGCAGCTAAGGTAACGTATATGGGTCTTTAGCAAAGCTTTTGATATGGTCTCCCAAGTATTCTTGCCAGCAAGTTAAAGAAGTATGGGCTGGAAGAATTGACGATAAGGTGGATAGAAAGCTGGTTAGATCATCAGGGTCAATGGGTAGTGATCAATGGCTCCATGTCTAGTTGGCAGCCGGTATCACCTGGAGTGCCCCAAGGGTCAGTCCTAGGGCCGGTTTTGTTCAATATCTTCATAAATGATCTGGAGGATGGCGTGGATTGCACCCTCAGCAAGTTTGCAGATGACACTAAACTGGGAGGAGAGGTAGATATGCTGGAGGGTAGGGATAGGATCCAGAGGGACCTAGACAAATTGGAGGATTGGGCCAAAGAAATCTGATGAGGTTCAACAAGGACAAGTGCAGAGTCCTGCACTTAGGACGGAAGAACCCAATGCACCGCTACAGACCAGGGACTGAATGGCTCGGCAGCAGTTCTGCAGAAAAGGACCTAGGGGTGACAGTGGACGAGAAGCTGGATATGAGTCAACAATGTGCCCTTGTTGCCAAGAAGGCCAATGGCATTTTGGGATGTATAAGTAGGGGCATTGCCAGCAGATCGAGGGACGTGATCATTCCCCTCTATTCGACACTGATGAGGCCTCATCTGGAGTACTGTGTTCAGTTTTGGGCCCCACACTATAAGAAGGATGTGGAAAAATTGGAAAACGTCCAGCGGAGGTCAACAAAAATGATTAGGGGTCTGGAGCACATGGTTTATGAGGAGAGGCTGAGGGGACTGGGATTGTTTAGTCTACGGAAGGGAAGAATGAGGGGGGATTTGATAGCTGCTTTCAACTACCTGAAAGGGGGTTCCAAAGAGGATGGATCTAGACTGTTCTTAGTGGTAGCAGATGACAGAGCAAGGAGTAATGGTCTCAGGTTGCAGTGGGGGAGGTTTAGGTTGGATATTAGGAAAACCTTTTTCATTAGGAGGGTGGTGAAGCACTGGAATGCGTTACCTAGGGAGGTGGTGGAATCTCCTTCCTTAGATATTTTTAAGGTCAGGCTTGACAAAGCCCTGGCTGGGATGATTTAGTTGGGGATTGGTCCTGCTTTGAGCAGGGGGTTGGACTAGATGACCTCCTGAGGTCCCTTCCAACCCTGATATTCTATGATTCTATGATGGGTCGTGGCCTCTCAAGGTATCAGGTCGAGAAAGCCAAGGGCAGAGCTGTTCCAAAGCATGCCAATTAGCGTGTTGCAGTTCAGCAAGGTTCTCTGCATAGTCAGCTAGTGGTGACTGAATCTGATGCTTATAATAATCTGCCTGGTTTGTAGGTTTTTGTATTTTGAATCAATTAGCAACTAATTATTTCATTTATTAGGCAGACATTGGGAAAAGCAATCTCTTGCTCCCAGTTCATGAGACTTTGTAATATGTAAATTTTGGCCCTGTTCCAACAAAGCACTCAAGTGTGTGTTTCATTTCAAGCAGGCAGTAATCCTGTTGACTTCAGTGGGATTATCCTATGCTTAAATGTAAGCATGTGCTTAAGTGTGTTGCTATGTCAGGCCATTGCTGCCTACCCACTGTGGCTACAATGACTGCATACTATGTAGTTACTATTAAAAAGGCATGAGGTCTATAACATTTTTATTCTGCAGTAAGATAATAGAGAAAATATTTCTAAAATGACCTTCCCCACAAAGCCTTGCAGGTAACTGGGCTCTCTTAAAGCTGTGCAAAGCACTGGGGAGGGGAAAATGTGTGTGAAATCTCATTCTATGTTTGTCATGTCATTTCCTCTCAGGGGATTTTACAGTCCTGATGCTCTTTTTCTCTTGCTCCATGTAATTCACGGACATGGCTGTTTTCACGCGGGAAATGTGTCAAACCCCAAATTTGCACATTTTCTGGGCCAAGCCGACTTGGCTCAAAAATAGGGCTCTGACAGATGCAACCCCCCAGCCTGCATGGGCTCCAGATCTCCGTGCTGTCACCCGTAACTCCCTCCGAGTAGCAGGTTCCTTCTCGCATGGGCCCGCTCTCTTCACTCCTCAGGCTGACGCACGAGGATAGGGAGGGTCAAATCTTGCTTGCTTGCCTGGCAGGAGTCAAGTGAGAGCAGGATTTGGCCCTTGATGGATAAATAGATCAAGGTAGTAAACTGGGAGTAGAGGTCCGGTAAAGACCATTATAACCTAAAGGGACGGGGGGGAGAGAACTTCTGGTCTACACTCGGTGGCAATAGCAAGTCCAAGTTCAGCGACTGGGTGCTCTGGCAGAGAACTAAGAGGATAAATCTACATAAATTGTGTTGGAACAATATGAATTTGGAGTTCAACAGTGAATTCATTTTCCCATTTGCAAGACAAGTTGGCTGAAGTGCACAAAGAAAACAATACAGTAAAAGAGAGAGGAAAGATGATAGTCATTTGTTTGAATCTGAATAGCTAATCTTGGTGTCCTGCTCTTTGAATCCAGAATGATCTGCTGCCTGTGGGACTCAGACAGAGAGACCAGACCAAAAAGACACCGACTGGCCCATTCAAAAGGGATGAGCTTCTGGACCACCTAGAAAAGCAGGCGAAAGATATGAAAGATCGAGAAGACCTGGTCCCTTTCACAGGAGAAAAGAGAGGTATGGCTGCATGTGGCTTTGGTTGTAACACGTATTGTAGTGCAGAGGATCCCCGGGGCAAACAGAGATTTTAGGGTGAGGGCCGCTGTGCGGCGTGACTCAGTCCAGAGGAGTAAGAGCATGACTCACATACACGACAGAAACGGCTGTGTCTGAGATCTGGATGTTGAGTGCAGCAGCCTCCAAGCTGCTGGTGCTGATCCCACCGGTGTGGCAGCTGTCTTCAACACCAGCTGGCGGCAGAGGCAGATGCCAGACTGGCACCCGGAGCCAGATTTGGTCATGTAGACCAAACCAAGGCTCTTGGAAGCAGTCATAGAATCCTAGAATATCAGGGTTGGAAGGGACCTCATGAGGTCATCTAGTCCCACCCCCTGCTCAAAGCAGGACCAATCCCCAACTAAATCATCCCAGCCAGGGCTTTGTCAAGCCTGACCTTAAAAACCTCAGAGGAAGGAGATTCCACCACCTCCCTAGGTAACGTATTCCAGCGCTTCACCACCCTCCTAGTGAAAAAGGTTTTCCTAATATCCAACCTAACAGTCGTGTGTGGGTGAGAGATTGCAGCACACACAGGAAAACTACAGCTCCACCCTCCCTGACTCCTGTGTGAGAGCATTGCTCACTCCTTCCTTGTCCTCCCTCAGCTCGCGTGACTGCTCTTTGCTCCTCCTACGCCGACTGCTTCCTTGGTGGGTCCTCTTCCCTCCTCCCACTACCTGTGGGACTTGCGCAGTTCTGGGGCCTCATCCCTAAAGTGCCCTGTCCCTGGCTGGTCGTCGACCCCACTTGTATATTTTCAATCAGTCTCTGTGCTGATGTGCTGCTGACTCGGAGATGTTCCTCTCCACTCTTGACCCTGGCTGACCAGTCCACAGGCCAGGCTCTCGCTCTGTCATCTCCCCTGAACGTCTAGTCAGTAGCTTAAGCATAATGTGGCTAAAACGGCATTCCTTATTTTTCCTATTGAGCCTTCTGTTTCCCCTGTCCAATGCCAATGCCCCCAATTTCCCCATCCCTGAGCCCCTTGATGTGGGGATCAGCTTTTCCTTCCTCCACCTCTAGACTGTCCAAGTCCTGCCAGATCTTCCTCCATCACATATGAAGGGTCTCAAAGCTCTTCCCTCTTCCTGTCAGCATCCTGAATGTTGCTTGGGCTTGGCTCCAGCCAACCACCCGTTGGAGCTAGGCACAGAGAGAGCTGAGGGATGGCGTCTTTACACGTGTTGGAAGGAGACCTGGAGCTGGCTGTCATCTGCGTATTGCTGGCACATAAGCCTGTGTTGGCTCATCAGCTGTCTCAATGACTTTGGGAACAGGATTGAGCCTTGCAGGACTCCATAGGCGAGGGCCTTGCTGGTGGAGAAACAAATGCCCATAATGATTCATTCTGAGAGGATGGGATATGGGTTTAGAAGTCTAACTGGAGGTACCCATTTAGGAGAATGTTGTCCTCTGTCTGTTGGCCTCTAGGGTGATGTCATGTAGAATAACGTTCCCAGTTCCAGGTGCCATGTCTCCAGAGAGATCCTGACAAATTGGAGGGAGTTCAGTAAAACAACAGACTGGTTCTGGGTCTATGGGAATGTATTGGGGAGGGAAGAGTAAATGAGCTACATACGTACATCTTGGTTAAGGGAGCACGAAAGGGGATCATGATAACCACCTGCAAATACATGAAGGGTGTAAGCACAAGGCTGCAGCGACACGCTCTGGTGCAACCGAGAGGTTATAACTAGGATCAGTGGGCTAGAATCATAAAATCATAGAATATCAGGGTTGGAAGGGACCTCAGTAGGTCATCTAGTCCAACCCCCTCCTCAGAGCAGGACCAACCCCAACTAAATCATCCCAGCCAGGGCTTTGTCAAGCCTGACCTTAAAAACTTCTAAGGAAGGAGATTCCACCACCTCCCTAAGTAACGCATTCCAGTGTTTCACCACCCTCCTAGTGAAAAAGTTTTTCCTAATATCCAACCTAAATCTCCCCCACTGCAACCTGAGACCATTACTCCTCGTTCTGTCATCTGCTACCACTGAGAACAGTCTAGATCCATCCTCTTTGGAACCCCCTTTCAGGTAGTTGAAAGCAGCTATCAAATCCCCCCTCATTCTTCTCTTCTGCAGACTAAACAATCCCAGTTCCCTCAGCCTCTCCTCATAAGTCATGTGTTCCAGTCCCCTAATAATTTTTGTTGACCTCCACTGGACTCTTTCCAATTTTTCCACATCCTTCTTGTATTGTGGGGCCCAAAACTGGACACAGTACTCCAGATGAGGCCTCACCAATGTCAAATAGAGGGGAACGATCACGTCCCTTGATCTGCTGGCAGTGCCCCTACTTATACATCCCAAAATGCCATTGGCCTTCCTGGCAACAAGGGCACACTGTTGACTCATATCCAGCTTCTCATCCACTGTAACCCCTAGGTCCTTTTCTGCAGAACTGCTGCCGAGCCATTCGGTCTCTAGTCTGTAGCGGTGCATGGGATTCTTGCGTCCTAAGTGCAGGACTCTGCACTTGTCCTTGTTGAACCTCATCAGATTTCTTTTGGCCCAATCCTCCAATTTGTCTAGGTCCCTCTGGATCCTATCCCTACCCTCCAGCGTATCTACCACTCCTCCCAGTTCAGTGTCATCTGCAAACTTGCTGAGGGTGCAGTCCACGCCATCCTCCAGATTATTAATGAAGATATTGAACAAAATCGTTTCCAGGACCGATCCTTGGGGCACTCCGCTTGATACCGGCTGCCAACTAGACATGGAGCCATTGATCACTACCCGTTGACCCTGATGATCTAGACAGCTTTCTATCCACCTTATCGTCCATTCATCCAGCCCATACTTCTTTAACTTGCTGGCAAGAATACTGTGGGAGACCGTGTCAAAAGCTTTGCTAAAGTCAAGGATCAACACGTCCACCGCTTTCCCCTCATCCACAGAGCCAGTTATCTCGTCATAGAAGGCAATTAGATTAGTCAGGCAGGACTTGCCCTTGGTGAATCCACGCTGACTGTTTCTGATCACTTTCCTCTTCTCTAAGTGCTTCAGAATTGATTCCTTGAGGACCTGCTCCATGATTTTTCCAGGGACTGAGGTGAGGCTGACTGGCCTGTAGTTTCCAGGATCCTCCTTCTTCCCTTTTTTAAAGATGGGCGCTACATTAGCCTTTTTCCAGTCATCTGGGACCTCCCCCGATTGCCATGAGTTTTCAAAGATAATGGCCAATGGCTCTGCAATCACATCCGCCAACTCCTTTAGCACTCTCGGGTGCAATGCATCTGGCCCCATGGACTTGTGCTCGTCCAGCTTTTCTAAATAGTCCCGAACCACTTCTTTCTCCACAGAGGACTGGTCACCTTCTCCCCATGCTGTGCTGCCCAGTGCAGCAGTCTGGGAGCTGACCTGGTTTGTGAAGACAGAGGCAAAAAAAGCATTGAGTATATTAGCTTTTTCCACATCCTCTGTCACTAGGTTGCCTCCCTCATTCAGTAAGGGGCCCACACTTTCCTTGACTTTCTTCTTGTTGCTACCATACCTGAAGAAACCCTTCTTGTTACTCTTAACATCTCTTGCTAGCTGCAACTCCAGGTGTGATTTGGCCTTCCTGATTTCACTCCTGCAAGCCCGAGCAATATTTTTATACTCATCCCTGGTCATTTGTCCAATCTGCCACTTCTTGTAAGCTTCTTTTTTGTATTTAAGAGCAGCAAGGATTTGACTGTTAAGCCAAGCTGGTCGCCTGCCATATTTACTATTCTTTCTATACATTGGGATGGTTTGTCCCTGTAACCTCAATAAGGATTCTTTAAAATACAGCCAGCTGTCCTGGACTTCTTTCCCCATCATGTTATTCTCCCAGGGGATCTTGCCCATCAGTTCCCTGAGGGAGTCAAAGTCTGCTTTTCTGAAGTCCAGGGTCTGTATTCTGCTGCTCTCCTTTCTTCCTTGTGTTAGGATCCTGAACTCGACCATTTCATGGTCACTGCCTCCCAGGTTCCCATCCACTTTTGCTTCCCCTACTAATTCTTCCCGGTTTGTGAGCAGCAGGTCAAGAAGAGCTCTGCCCCTAGTTGGTTCCTCCAGCACTTGCACCAGGAAATTGTCCCTTACATTTTCCAAAACCTTCCTGGATTGTCTGTGCACCGCTGTATTGCTCTCCCAGCAGATATCAGGGTGATTGAAGTCTCCCATGAGAACCAAGGCCTGCGATCTAGTAACTTCTGCAAGTTGCCGGAAGAAAGCCTTGTCCACCTCATCCCCCTGGTCCGGTGGTCTATAGCAGACTCCCACCACAACATCACCCCTGTTGCTCACACTTCTAAACTTAATCCAGAGACTCTCAGGTTTTTCTGCAGTTTCATACCGGAGCTCTGAGCAGTCATACTGCTCCCTTACATACAGTGCTACTCCCGCACCTTTTCTGCCCTGCCTGTCCTTCCTGAACAGCTTATATCCATCCATGACAGTACTCCAGTCATGTGAGTTATCCCACCAAGTCTCTGTTATTCCAATCACATCATAATTCCTTGACTGTACCAGGACTTCCAGTTCTCCCTGCTTGTTTCCCAGGCTTCGTGCATTTGTATATAGGCACTTGAGGTAACCTGCTGATCGCCCCTCTTTCTCAGTATGAGGCAGGAGCCCTCCCCTCTCACGAGCTCCTGCTCATGCTTCCTCCCGGTATCCTACTTCCCCACTTACCTCAGGGCTTTGGTCTCCTTCCCCCGGTGAACCTAGTTTAAAGCCCTCCTCACTAGGTTAGCCAGCCTGCTTGCGAAGATGCTCTTCCCTCTCTTCATTAGGTGGAGCCCGTCTCTGCCTAGCACTCCTCCTTCTTGGAACACCATCCCCTTGTCAAAGAATCCAAAGCCTTCTCTCCGACACCACCTGCGTAGCCATTCGTTGACTTCCACGATTTGACGATCCCTACCCCGGCCTTTTCCTTCCACAGGGAGGATGGACGAGAAGACCACTTGCGCCTCAAACTCCTTTATCCTT